TTCATAAATTTTATGGTGAAAATGCCGAACAAATTTTTTTCGACGTATTTATATTTAATTTAGGCATTGGTCTATCTCTATTAATAATGTTTTCTTATTCATTACATGGTCTCCAGCCAAAACTTTTTAAAATAAATTTTCAATATCACAATTACATTCCGAATCGCTAGCCATAAGGGCTAAAATTAAAAATAAAATTATAAAAGCTTACTTGTTAAAATAAAATGTGTGATAAATATACAATTATACATACCTGGTACAAAATATTCAATTGTACGAATATACTTTTAAAGAAAATTACAGTAGAGCATCGATTATCCGACTCAATTGGGGGCTCAGGTTGGTGAGATAACTGAAAAAAATCGGATAACCGAAAAGTAGGAAAAAAATACATTATTAGTATAGTATATTAGGATATTAGTATATCCCATGTAATTAGTATATTAGTATATCGCTATTAACCAACTTCGCGTTGAATTTTCATCGATGTTAAGCCTAACAAATTTTTTTTAATAATAATCGTCGCTATTGTATCGTTAAAAATTATTTTAAAATTATTTTATTGCTCACGAAACAAACAACCACTCATAATTGGAAAATTAAGTCTCGTTTAAATACTGGCCTCCCTTCAATGGTCGAGTTGTTGATGCCAGCTAAAACACGTAAATATTTAATAAAAATAATATTAAAGTAGCCCAGATATAGTCAAATATTGTAATGCCACATCACTAGCCGACGTTTGAAATTTGCCGACTAGAACGGTCGGTTAACCGATGTGACGATTAATCGGGGGGTCGGATAATCGATGCTGTACAGGGTTGTTGTACATTTTAAACGTTTCTCACCATAGCTGTAAAAATCTAAATTTGCTAAACTTAATAGATTGTCCGTCATTTGTTTTCTAACTAATTCGTCTTAAGACCAGATGTCCACGGAAATTTCCAAAATTTACAATTTTTCGGTCGCTCTCGTTGAACTGAAAAAATTTCTGTTTATATTACGTCTAATATTACGAAGAAATCAGTCCCCACTGTACTCGGCAGTGGGTCGGTTAAGGTTTTGTTTAAGCAAAATTCCGGCTCTTTCAGCAGAGTTTTATTTATGTCCCTAATTCCCTAATCGCTTAATTATTTAACTACTACTTAAATAGAAATAAGTCGAAAGCGGTTACTTCGTACTCGAATATTTGTAGTCTCGGGAAAAAAGTGGAAAGACAAATTTTTATGACCACGGATACATAAATCGGAAATTTAAGGAAAATAAATTCTAGAGATTTTTCTGTACCTCGTGCATCTCTCTCATTCATTAAATTTATTTGTAAATGATGCTGTCAAAGTAACGGTTAATTTTTTAACATTGTACAAGAATTGTACACGTTTTTTTTACATCCCCTTTTGTACGGGACATACGAAATCGTAATATCACTGGTTTAACATTGAAATCTGTAAGTAATATAAAATGGGAGAGCGGAATAAAAATATCAAATATTTTAATGGATTTTTTTTAAAACTCCTGTCAACTATACAAAACTATCGTAAAAACATACCAGTAAATTCTCATCGGTTGGGTTGTTATAAATCTACTCATGACTCGCATAATGGGTCGAGGGCGGCCAAATATCTAGCGGGCGAGGCGGCTAACAGGCCAGAATCGGTCCTGGATAAAATTGGATGCGTTATACGTGTAGCATCCACTTAAGGTCCTAGGCTTCCACCAGCTAAAGCAGGTGAGATTGATGCTCTGTAAAGTGCATGCACAAATCTGGTGTTTGGATGCTGACAATACAGCGCTTCCATTCGCCACGAATATTCGAATATACAATAGCAATCTTATCTTTTTTTTCACGTTAGTATAGAAATTTGTAATAAGATACATAATGCGGTTATAATAAAATATTGTGCGATTATTTTCATATAATTAAAATTAATATGTATTTATTTTTTAAAAAATACAAGGGAAGCGGCGTTTCAACCGCTTCCAATGACGGCACGCCACTGGACGATAATGTAGTCGCCACATATAGTGTCTCAGTTTGCCAATGACTTTATTCACAGCGAAGCATTATTCGCATGCACTTTCCAACGACACTTCCGCACCTAAATCTCATAGAACATGCGTGAGATGCTCTGGGCAGACGAGTTGCATCCAGTGTGTCTTCAAAAACACTGTAGGAGAATCAGTATGATCTTGTTTCAAGTAGAGACTTTTTTCTCGACACATCTAATAAATCAGATGTGTCGAGAGAAAAGTCTCTACTTGAAACAAGATCATACTGTTAAAACGTTATAACTAGCATCAACAATTAGTGTGCAGTGTGGTTGTGTGTGTGCAGGAGGCAGCCATACACTATTAATCATCTTCTGTGAAAGAAGATCTATGATACCACTCACTAATTTTACTTGGTTTCGGTTTAATAAAATTTTAGTAAACTTTTTGCTTTTCAATTGTTTTGTTATGTGAAGAATACCATGTTTGCTCGTAAGTTAAATTCACACTATTCTGAACAGAACATCTTCAGTTATACGCGGAATTAATGGTTGTTCTTATATTTTGGAATTTAGAAATATCCTTAATAAAAGCGGGAAACTTTATATTTGTTATGAGCGAATTGTATTATTTACTCGTTGAGATCAGTTTTTGGCCTGTAATAAATAAGTTTTTAATAAATAATGAATGCGTGTTTATTTCTAACCCACATTAATTAAACATTGCGTCTGTACATTGTGTTAATTCATTGCTTCCTGTTTGATGCAACCGTTCAGAGGTAGAAACGAGTTGCATTACCTTCTCGGCTGTTATGACATATTATATAAAAATAACTTTTATATTATCATAAGGCTGGGTAGAGGCAAGCCGTCAAGTAAGCGAGCAAACGAACGAACAATTTAACAAAGAGAACAAGTTTATTATATTATTTATTTTTATGAAATTTATGAAAATCTGGACCTTATTTAGATGAAGAAAATTCGGAAAACTTCACATCTGTTCTCGACTTTCATGTTTCTAACTTCTTTCTCGAGATTAACGAAATATACACAGGCAGAAGACAGGTTATGACTGTCCGAAATTTATAGATTTACAATTTTTCTAATTGCATTCCTATAATTTTTCTAGATACAAATGAAATTGACACAAATGAAAGACGATTACGTATGGGAGGCAACACCATAATTGGAAATGGTACAATAAGCTGAAAATGTTCAATGACGACGATGATATATATGAGTAAAATTTTCATTAAGTCTACCCATGACGAGATACGACACATGAGCACTCGTATCTTCCCACCCCTCGACTCGTAATCACCAAAATTAGTGACAATGCTCTTTATATACAGGTTACCATTTCAAATTTCGTTTCTAAATCTTTACCCTATCCTAAAATATTAAACGAAACTAACGCCAACACATACAAACACATATCCATAGAATTTTTCCCGTCACCATCATACTGGGTTCAGGAAGTCTCAAAACATTCACCTCCAATTTCGACACCAATACATTCCCTTGTTACATGCATGTAACAGCTGGGAAATTATAAGTCGATGTTGGACTTATTTCTTATCCTACTTATTCTGCAATAGTCCCGCTTTAGTGTGGGAAAAGTAGTGTTTACCCCGAGATGGTGAGGAGAAATCACATGGTCTTTGTTTGTACAAAGGAACGAGGAGTAAATATTAACGACAAGAGAAATATGCAGTTTTAAAATATGCTTAATTCTGCTTATTATTCTCGTGTAAATTGACAATATAAATAAATAGAACGAATAAAACTAATTTTATTCGTTTTATGTATTTACACTTAAGCGTATAAACATCCAAATAAAATATTCTTTCTTCATTGCATAATACACTACATGTACAGTACAATATCTTAATTAATACGTGCTCTTTATTCATTCACATTCTTTGAACGTTTTAAAATTAACCATCTAAAGTCATAAATATAACATAATCGATTTTATAATTACATTACCATAAAACGTTAATTTTCTATTATGTCAATCAATATTCGCATATTTTCAACGTAGCTAATTAAAACATAAACAAACCAAGGGATAAAGTATTAACCTTGCGTGGATAATAGTTACGTGGAACATCCAGGAAACGAAGAGAAATTTTAATTTTATTCTTTTGAGTCTACCGGTCAGTATAAATCTATTAAATACTCATGGAATATTCTATTTTGGACGCAATTCGTCCGTATCTAAACGTTTTACGCGTCATTGGTGTATTTATACCCAAGCGCCAGGATTATTTATGGGTTAAAGCGCTTCTATTTAATACGTACTTTATAACGATAATTTCTATTTTCGTCTTTTATCCGGATCAATTATCAAAGATTTTTATAAATTTGCATATTGACGAATTCTGTGGCATTCCCGTTGCTTGGGATATCTACGGTACCCATTCACGCTTCGTATTATTCGGTGCACTTTTAATTTCTCCGTTATTTCTTTACCTGTATAATACAAATGCATTTCAAATAATTAAGGCAATGAAAATCCTGGACGAAAACGTAAAATACGCAAAGAAAATTTTTCCAAAATTACTGCACTATCAAGACTTAGTTTTAATTTATTTCACCTTGGTCCAAATATTTGTGTGTTTGTTATTTGGCACTTTGTACGTGTATTACAGGAACGTTTACGGATACTCTAAATTATTCTGGCAAGAAAGCTTCTGTACCTTTCATTTATTATTCGGCATTTTCACCAACGTTAGCGTCATTTGTTACGGCACGGGATTCATTGGGATTCTTAGTTACATCTGTATTCAATTATTAGACACATTTATTATAGACATAAAGGAAAAAATACAAAGCGAAGAAATTAATAGCAAGACATCGCAACTGGAACTGTCGTCCATTGTATATTTTATTAAAAAGAACGATAAAATATTCAAAACAATTCAGGCTTTGTTGATAACAATTTTCATTCCCATAATCAGCATTGTAAGTATATATGTGGTACTTTACGTATCGTTTACAATAGAATATCTGTTGATATGCTTTGCAATCTTTTGGCTGTGGATTGTTACAGTAATATATTTTCTTTACTTGACAAGAATTCCTTCGAACGTAAGTTACTTTCATTTTACAGAAAATTTGTTAATTTTATCTCTTCTAAACCATATAAATAGTTTAACGACAATTATATAATTAATACATTTCAGATGGAACGGTTTTTCACTTGCATAATGGACATTTATTTCCTTGACGATGACAATAACAGAATCGTAAATATTCTTTCTTAACTTATAAATTGAATATTTTACTTCGATTTTCACTAAAATATGTCTGATTTTTACTACATTTTAAATCAAAACTCTCATAACGACAGTACAATGAAATGTGTTTTCTTTGTTTTCAGACGGAAGTATTAATGTCCATATCGAGAGGCGAAGTGGGATTCAGAAGCAACAATTTCTTTTTCTTCGACAAGCAAGCGGTTTTAAGTGTAAGTTTAATATCTCATATACTATTTTATAATACGGTATATATTGTTTCTACTATTGTTTAAATATTGATATAATATTTTCTATAAAAGTGTATTTTGTTTCAGTACACTGTCGAATTCATCACACAATTAATTGCATTTTCGATAATAAGAAGTAAATCCACCACAAATTAGTAGGTATCCACCGGATATTTGACTGATTCAATTGACAGATAATAATTGAAAAATTCAGTTCGATGCACTACGTCAACTGCAGCAATATTGCAGATTTTGAAATTAGACGTGATGTTCATATTGTGAAATCAACAGTGATTTTACGTCATCATTTTCAATGCCCGTATCTCGAGAGAGTTGAGGTTGGATTAGATTTTCGACGACTTCGATCTACTGCAAAGGAATTCAAACGTTAAGTAGATTGTAAGAAAGTTCTTTGTTAATTATTATGGATTCATCAAAATGCAAAGATGCATTTTACTGTAAAAGAAGAAACTGGAATGTTTTTATGAGTTACGACAACGCAATTTTTCCGCGCATTTAGAGTTTCTTTTAACTTCACATACGAAGAACAATGCATCAGTTATAGAAAATGAGTATTCGAGACAATTGAAAAACAAGGGATATAACTATATCTTCTTATAGCAGGAAACAGTTGGCAGAAATTGACAGCCCTCTCGTCTGCAACTGCGATAAAATATTGGAAAGAAGAGTTAAGAAAACTGTTTAATATATTTTAAAGCGATTCGTTTATAATCATTAATTAAATAATATTAAACACAGGAGAATGGCATCGTGTCACATAAGTGGGAGTCACATTTGTAGGGAAATGGAATACCAAACGAATGCCATTGTTCTTAAATGTTCACTAGCAGAAAACAAACTGTACATAAACTTTGCACCGTTCTCAGCAAAACCTCTGTTCGTTGCTCACAGAATAAAGAAATTCGTTCGGCATCGGCTAAGGATGCATGTAAATATGTTGATCTGTGACAGAAATTCCAACATTGTAACAAAGTCAAAGCCGAACCAGATGTGCTTATCGCACTTTTGTGCTCGGAAGGAAAATGTAGATGATCTGTCATCTTTGTGATTTTTTAATATACAGTACAAGATGTGTAATAGATAAAAGTTTATACTACTGCAATTACTTTAAAACTCACTTTCTGTAATAGGAAACAACAATTCTACTTTTTAATTGTTTATTAGAGTCGGCATCTCGTCTACCGCGTTTGTACGTTTTATCACGAGTAATATATAAGAGAAAATACATAGATAATAGTGATGTACAAATAGAACGAGTAAAGGCACTTAGTACTGGGATATCAGTTATCAAATTATACTTTAATAGATATGAGAGAATTGTTTTTTATGTACAGATTATAAGTAAAATAATGTATGTATAGGCGTTATTGTTGTTAAAATATTAAGTGTTAATAAAACAATCGATATCTTGTATGATTAAAAACCGTATTTTAGTGTATTATCTTCGAATAAATCTGCCGAAATAAATTACGTAGAGACGTCTGAAAATATTGTCTACAGAAATTATAAAAAACAAAATGTTACAACTTAATCTCTTTACATAAGCCGTAGTCTGGTTTAAAATAAACGGTTTGTTAACGGGAATATAGGCGATGTCTAACAAAAATTTCTTGTACTTAGTACGTACAATTTCCAGATACATTGTAGCTAGCATTTCATTCTATTGTAAATCGTTTGTTTTTTAAAAGAAGTCTAGCAACGAGTTAAGTAACTTTCCCGGCGAAAAACACCAAGACACACTAGCATAAAAGTGAAATCGTGCAGCGCCATTTGTTATGAGATTTTTTTAAAATAGTTGTTATATTATTAAGTTTTATGAAATAACAAAAAAATTAATTCATCAATGTCTATTAAGATCCTATTATGCTTTTTATATAAAACGAGTTTATACGCATATATTGTACAAACTCTAGCGACATTAAATCATACAAGAAACCAACTCACTCATTGTTTAAAAAGTTTCTTTATTATCTTTTGGTTTGTCAAAGGCCTAAGCCTCATCAGTCTGGCCTGATTTGACATTTGAATACGTACAACGGAATCATTAATCATTAAAATTACAAAATTATCTTATAAAAGGTATGTACAGAGAATGTATACAAATAAAGTAATCAAGCATCAATATTACAGTGTGATTTGATGAATTACGATATAATACAAGCAATAAAATCTAAAAACAACGGTAAACTGTAGTTAAAATTAACTTTAAATACTAAAATGCAAATATTAAAACAAAAATACCTTTAACAATGTGAAAATAAAAATAATCATTCGGATTTAAAATATACTAAGACGATAATGGAGAACTAAACAAGGCGGTTAGAATAAATTACGTATACTATATCTTTTTGTATACTGTATAAGGAAATTTTAGAAAAAAATAAACATAAAATAACTGTGTTTAATTAACACATTACATGGTTTAATATATTTATTTATAAAGATGTCTGTATTGTTTCTATGAATACTAACATGTAAAATATTAATAGTGTTGTGAGATTCTCTCTCAATATCGAATTTTAAATCAGAGTGGATGAGTTAGCGCAGGTGAGTATTGCGTTAGTGTCGGTTAAATAGGAGTCATATACAGGTAGACAATCATCAACGTATGTATTATAAAAAATTATACCTCTTATAGTACTTAGAACATTATCTGGCTCAATACAAAGTTCATCAAGTTTGAGACCAATACAGGAGCCCATAAATATACCACGGTCACAATTCAGATTATGTAAAGTATTAATAATGAACTGCTTTGTAGTAGAAGGGTACATGTTTTTGACGTCAAGACTCATTATTCTATACTTTTCTTTAACAGTAATATTTTTAATATTAGTTAGTAGTTCTTCGGAGTATGGATCGTAAGGTATTTCAATGTAATTATCTGGATTAGTAATATTATTTAAAACTGACTTGTATTTATTAAATTCAACAGCACTAATTGTTTAGTTTTATTGATTTGTAAAATAATTAAATTAAATCTATTTTTAAAGACTAAATCTTCACATTTCATTATTTTAGGGCCACTGTAATCAAGTATTTTAATGAGTGAATTTTTTTCATTTAGTGAAATATTACAATTAGAATAATTAATTAATTATTTTTCCAGTTAAATTTTTGTGTTATTTTTGGTTATTCTAATTTTATAACTAGTTTATTACATTTTAAAATAGTGTGAGTCTCACCATTTCTCCTCCGAAATTTTGGTTGTTATCATATATAACTTATTTAGCTAATAATGTATTCTCTTTAAATAATAAGTCGGGAATTTTATTGTATTCCCTTTCTAAAGTTTTAGTAATACCGGTTAAAAATAATTCAAAGAAACAAATTAGAATAAAAAAAATTATCAATTTATTGTTATAAATCTGACAACATAAGAAGGCAAAGAAGAAGAGAATGACCGTCGTTCATCTCTTTTTCGAGAGTGTTAGATGACAGATGTTACTCCATTCATTTCATGTGGACTACTGTAAGACCAATGATGCTTATTGCAAATTAACTTACTTCCTCCGGAAGAAAATGATGATTGGTGAAAACGAAGAATAAAATAAAAGGGAATGACGAAAATCAGAGAGAATGAAAGTTCCCTCTGCAAAATTTTCCTCTCCCTCTCTCCGAGAGGGAAATTTTGAAAAATCCCTTCTTAGTGTACATTCCCATGACGTACCCCAACTGTGTACCAAATTTCAACTTTCAACTCCTAACCGTTTTGGCTCTGAGCTTATTATCAACACAAACCCATCACAATAAAAAAATAAGTTAACTGAAAATGAAATCAACCCCCCGAAAAGCCCAATCCCGAAACTCCGAAGGACCCCCAACCCCCCCGCCCTTTGGTTTTTTCTTGTCTAAATCGAAGGTGTGTCCAACAACACATATCTGCTGGCAGGGTCTTACCCTAAATTCTCGTAGTCCAATTTTTGACGGCCCCCAAGCCCCCTACAACAGTATACCCATCTCTAAAATTTAAACAAAATTTAAAATGAATATTTTTTCTCCTTCCCTTTACCCTTCTATATTTTAATTCGGCGACATATTCTTTAAGTCTTATTCCTACTTTCCTTTTTGTTTCTCCTATGTAAATTTTCGGGTGTTCACAAGTACACGGTATGGAATAAACTACATTTGTTATGCTATAAGCTATATATCTTCTACCTTTTTACCTTGTTCAAGCTTTATTTTTTTATATTCTCTTTTGCAATTTTTTGTAAGTTAGAGATAGTTTTATAGTTACTTTGTTAAAATCTTTATTTATTTCTTCAAAAACACCTTTGATATAAGGGAAAGCTATTTATGTTGGTGTCTTTGTTTTGTTGATGTTTATTATTAATTCTACTTTCCCATTTTTGTATTATTCTATTTGGGGTAGCCATTTAACTTAAATTTCTTTTTTTAAACTCTTTTATATACTCATTTTTATTCTTCTCTATACTTGTTCTATTTTTAATTCTTTTATATTCCATACAAAATGTTTCTTTTACGTATAGTGTAGTATATAATATATACTTTTATAAGATTATTTTGTAATTTTAATGATTAGAAATATGTACATCAGAATAATTAATGTCAAATGAGGTCAGAGTGATGAGGGGCATGGACCGAAATAATAAAGATACTTCTTAAACACTGAGTAACTTGGCTCCTTGTATGATTTGATCTCGCTATAATATCACAATATTTGTGGATAAACTCGTTTTATATAAAAAGCTTAATATTGAGTATAGAGATGAGTTTTATAAAAAAAAACAATTGTAAGTACTATTAACAACTAAAATCTTATAGTCTCATAACTCTCAGCCTTTAACCACCAAAATTAATTAGTGTGAATACAATACTCCTTATAATTAAGTTACCAACGTTTCTTAATGTTTACACCATCCTAAGATATTAAACAAAACAGACACTAACAGAACACAGAAACATACAGACACACGCAAATCCATAGAATTTTTTTCCTGTTTTTGACAATTTTGGATTCAGGAGATCCGAAAACGTGGAGATTTGCAAAAAACCGGTAAGGTCAAATTTAACACAATTACAATACCTTCCCTTGTTAGGTATAGGCCTACACAACAAAACAGAAGTAGAGAGTTTAAACGTTTACTTTCCAAACAAACCCAAATTAAAAACTATTTATAGTGTTTAAAAGAAAAATTATAATAGGTTAAAATGACGCTGATAGACAATGGAAATACACGTAATATAGAACATTGAATGCGATATTAATATAAATTGCGACATCCTTATCACAATAGACAAGTTCTTTTTAATTACTCGACGTGTGGAAATGCTGATTAATATGCATAAAGGATATGTTATTTGTTTCGTATTTTGTTACCAAGAATTCATTTTGAAGGCATACTTTAAATATTATAACCCGTAAAACTCAAAGTTCTTGATTAGTCGATCGTAATATATAATCGATAGACTATTGACAAAGTGAAATAATCGAGAAAATCGATTAATCGTGCGCACATTAGATAATAGAGTATATATATTAAACACATACGAACCGACTGTCCTTGTGTTATTCGTGTATTATTATCGCGCTAATGGCCACGTGGAGTCTTTTAGGTTTTCTTCACGTGTCTAATATCTAAATAGGGACCAATTTCCCATAGAAACTCGTCCCCTCAGCTGATGGTCGACGTGTCGTTTTGCCATATCCTACGAAACCAAATCGGCTTTCACGAATAAGATATAATTCTATTTTCGTCACAGATAAAAAATTAAAATAAATAAATTGTTAAATAAAAGCTGTAAATTTCGTATTAAAATATAATCCTTTAATTTTAAAGTTTGTTATTCGTGTCAACATGACGTTACAACAGAAATGTTTATCGATCCCCCACAATTTCGATTGCTTCATCGAATCCGGATTAAAATGTTCGTCAATTGAATTCGGCCGAACCACGTATATGTATTATAAAATAAATTATAGAGTTTTCTATCGGATACACAACTAACAAAACATGTTCTTCCTCTTGTTTGTTCTGAAAACCGCCATTTTCTTTACTGACGTTACTGGAAAAGGTAAAATTATTTAGATATTTCTAACGCTTTGTTACTGATTTACTCTTTTATTTTCTATATTTTAGAATGTGTTACGCCCGAGGAATATCGTAACAACAGCTGCGAGGCTTATTGCACGGAAGGGCAGCCACTCTTCTGCAATTCTGTTAGCATTGATTCCGACTGTTACTGTGGAAATGGAACAGTAAGAGATAACACAACACACGAGTGTATCTCGCCTGAAGAATGTACCAAGAGTAACAACATACTTTTACTTATTTTTTTAAACAAAATTTATTAGATTAATGACATGTTTGTGGTCCCTTCTAGAAATATGCGGTCCGGATCAACAATTCGTGTTTTTCGGTTTTAATGTGTCGGTGTGTACAAGTAAAGGTTACATTGTCTCTATACTGATACTTCCCTACTTGTTTTGTTCGTGTGAAAATTCACTACTTGATGAGTGCGCTTTGACGGGCAAGTGTTTAACAGAAGAACAGTGTGACAAAAGTAAGTCTAATGTTTGAATTTCGCTCTTAATTAATTATAATTATTGGGCTCATTATGAGTTCGACCAGGCCCACAATGGGGTTGTCTCCCACAAACCCATTGTGGGCATGGTCGAACCAATAATGGGCTTGCTAAAAAGGCTCTCTTAGTGCCCACAGGGAGAGTTAAAAAAACACCACTGTTCGACGATTTTAGCCACTCGACCACCAGTGTTGGGTAGTTTAATCCATTCGGCCACTGGTGAACACTATATTAAGAATGCAATATGCAAATTTCATGTATATTTATATATATATATAGGCTATATTTTTCTTTACAGGACAATCAAATCCCATGAATTGTTCTCTAGACGCTGATTTTCACCGTTAAATATTCTGATATATGTAAAAATTTTGTATTATTTCCATATAAATCGATGATTTCGTACTGTTTTCATTAATAAAATATAAAAGAATGTACCATTTTGTTTAAGGAAATAATATTAAAACAGGAATAACGTATAATCCGCAATCTCCACCTATCTCTACATTTGATATAATATAAAGATGATGTTCCTAAATACTGTATTAAACGGAAATGATATTAAATTTATATTTTAATAAAATATTATAAAATAAATTTTATGTTTTTATAAAATAATCTAACTGTAGGGCGAAACAGTCGGTTTGGTGGGACGTGGCAACGAGACACGTGGGCGATTCGTCGAAGGGAGTGGCCCCTCCAGAGATCTCTCTATGGTAAACTCCGGACAATTGCATGTGGCAAGTCCGTTGATAGGCGCTAATTCTCGACTAACTCCCGGTATTCAGTGCTTTTTAAAGAAAATTGGCTCCTATACGGGTATTAGACACGTAGAAAAGTCCATGCAGCCAATTTGTTGGTCGGACGCAAACCCAAACCAATGTTTAGTGGTGTGACTACTCGGCTGGTAAGCTTGCAACGATAACTATCATTAATAATTCCTTTACAATGCATTTTATTAATAGCTAGTCTGAAAATATGAAAAAATTCCCTACACAATTTCATTACAATAATCACAAGTAATTATTAACACGAACATTTCTAGACAATTTTAAATTTCGATTTCTTTAGCAAGCAAGTACGACAGTCCACGAGATGCTTCTGTAATATATTTCAAATTATATTTTAACAGTGAATATATTACAGTAATTACTTTGTATGAGATTTACTTATGGAAACAATAATAAATAAATTATTTACCGTTACTTATTGAGAGCCAACCGTAGAAATCTTCTTAAGAATCATACTCGATTTATGGAAGCTTTCACCAACAGCGAGACTCGACTGTACTTCTGAATAAAGCTCATCAGAGAGTGGGTGTTCGTGGTGCATTTTCATCCACGTCACACCTAAAACACAGCACCGGACACTTACTTAAAGCATTAAAATTTAAATATTTTGTAAAATAATTTACCTTCGTTTATGGAATCACCCAAATGAAGCGTTAATTCTATACCAACTCCGTAATTTAAATATCCATCTCGTCTTTCTTCTTTCTTACAAAGTTTTGCCAATTTCTTCCCCTCGATCCCAATTACAACACCTAAAAGAAAGGATACGTTTTAATAAAAATATTTTAAGATATTTTACGCCATAATTCTTAAAATTTGCTCACCCGCTTTTCCATTATACTTAAATTCAGTCACGTGCTTAGTGTTTGGTAATACAGATGATGGATTTTCCACGCATTTTCTAGCTACATCTTTATCTACCCCTTGACGAACTAAGATTTGATAGAACTTTTCTAAGGCGCTTCCATCACTTATAACTTTTCTAATCAGAATTTTTGCTTCGTCTTCGTTTCTGCATCGCTTGGACAGAACAAGCAATTCGCTTCCTAAAACAATAGAAATCTGTTAGAAACAATCGTTCGTACACAACAAAAACATCGTATTTAACATACCAAAAACTTCCACAAGCTCTTGAATATCGCAAGGTGCATTTCCATTAAGACATTGGACAGTTTCTATAATTTCTAATGAATTCCCTATCATTTTTCCAATAGGAGCTTCCATTCTGGTCAAGAAAGCCGTGGCTTTAACACCATTAGACGAAGCGACATTCACCTGAAGCGTAAAATATAATTTTATATGGAAAAAAATTCAGTTTACTCTCTAGAAAAAAGTGAAATACCATAGAAGAAGCCAGTTCTTCCGCTGCATCTTCAGTTTCGCAAAAGGCCGAATTTCCAGTTTTAACATCAAAAACTAAAGCGGATAACCCTTCAGACAGTTTCTTTGAAACAATAGAAGCTTTAAATACACATAAATAAAGTAAATTAAAATGTCATCCTGTAAAAGTGTAAATTATAAAGTAATTTGCATATTACCCGTTATCAGAGAAATGTTGTTCACAGTTCCGGTGATATCACGATAATGATACAGGACTTTATCTGCTGGAACCGATTCTAACGTTTGGCCAATTATACACGCTCCAATATCTTCTAGAGCTCTTTCCACTTCCTCTGGTGCCAGACTAGCATTGAAATTTGGAATTGATTCCAACTTGTCTAACGTTCCTCCAGTGAAATCTAAAGATCTTCCAGTTATCATTGGCAACTTTAAAAGACAATACATTACAAATTTATTTTCTGTAATGAATACAACTCCATAATTATTATAAACGAACAGCCGGATTCCTTATTGGGCTATAAGGGTAAATGATTACTAATCAATTTGTCACTAGGCAATCTTCCAGAGCTGCCATCTCTTGTTAAATAAATAACCTAACCAAACTACTCGAAGAGGAATCCTCGTCTGATGAATTAAGAATATAATGATTTCTTTTTGCATCCTGCTGTCAAATTTTGTTGAAGAGACTTTATTCAACTAAGTAATAAAAAAAAAAGTTTACCTTTAATCCACACGCTGCCAAAACGGGTACTAGAACGTGACTAATTTTATCTCCAACTCCACCCGTACTATGTTTATCTACTATGATATCTCTCGTTTCATCCTTCCATTTAAATACCTTACCGGAGTTTACCATGAGTTTAGTCAATGTGGCCGTTTCTTCGTCGTCCAATCCAGAGAAATAAATTGCCATGAGCATGGCACCTGCAATATGCCAAAAATTTACCAATCAAATATGCTTATAAACTGATCGTGGATTCGTACTTAATAACGGACTGGCCGCGTGAAGTTTTCTCGCTTTTCCTCACCTAATTATAGGCCAGTTTCCTATAGAAAGTCATCTCAACTGTATATATCAATTATACTGTGTTCACTCTAACATACAGCAAAATTAGTAAATTAATTCTAGATTTTTAGTTACTTTTTAAACACATTTATTAACGAATCAACACACGATCTGTTGTTATACGATAATCATACGTGTTAGACGTTAAATTAACAATTAACAAATTAATTCAAATTATTAAAAATATTTCGATAAGATACAATTTAGTTAAGTACAAAGTTTCATTTTCATGCACTTAATCAGTCGAAGGTCATTTCATGTAATACTGAGAAACCAGGAAGTTACGCAAGACAAGTCAATAAAGAAAGAAATTTCAAATATCTAACATATTGTACAGTACAATTACGCTATAAATTACACAAAACTTACCGATTTGTGCCGAGAGATCTTCCACCCTTTCGCCATTTTGTACTTTACGTTCCTTTTCGACTACTTTTTCTATAAAATAATGTAATTCTTCTGTTGTTAGTTTACTTCCATCACGTTTTTTTTCGATGATGGATCTTAGTTTTGTACAGAACATGTTCATAATTATGTCGGCTCTTCCCTCCTCCTATTCTCTGATAACGCTTAACAGTTGAAGGTTGTAGAATGAATCATTGTAATATTATATCTTCCTTATTTATTCATATTAGTAGATATTGATAATTTCACTTTCGGTTACGGTTTTGAAACGAGTTTTTCATTATATTTTTCTGTTTTGTTTTAATGAAACAATTTATTATTTAATTAAACTATTGCAGAACTATTCTGTTACCCTTAATAAAAATTCTTCTTTTTTTCAAGAAGGTAAAAAAATTCTTTTACTATTAAAGATTTACTACATCGTTCAAGGCGTTAGACCACATATCTGGGGCACTATTGTAAGTACCCATTGATGCAGTCTTCTCCACACGTGGGTACTCGTCCCCATTTGAGGTCAAAGTAATCCGACGATAGGTCAGAAAAAGTCTAGTACTTTCTATGGGAAATTGGCCCTATTCAAGTGTTAGGCACGTGAAGAAAACTCGGAAAATTCCGCGTGGCCAACTCGAGGAACAATACGTGCTGGGTATATTTTTATGACCGGATCGGTTCCGAATAAAGAAAGAAATGGCGATTCATATTTCCGTGTCCACCCGGATCAAGAAATTTGTATGAGCTCCACAGACAACGGTCATCAAAGAGCGTTGGGATCGTTTCAACAAATGTCTGGATCCTATTCGTGACCATATGTTCTTATATTTGGGAAATTTTTCGAGTCCCTTACGACTTAACAATGGAGCATTGTCGATCCGCAAAGAAATTCTAGCTAATGACGAAAAGTCGAATCGGCCCGGGAGATTATTTGACACTGCTCATAGACTCATTTGTTTCAATACATTTAAAATTATATAAAAATAATAATGACGTTACTATGAATCATATACATAAACGCTTCAGTAGTGCAATATACACAAATATATTTATAAATTCTGGTTAAGTTTATTTTAGGCATTGCTACTGCTAAAGACATGGAAGGGGGAGACAGTTTCAGAGCAAGAAATTTCTTCTATTTAAGTGGAACAATCCCTCCCTCACCACTACACTGCAGTCACATTCTAGACAGGGATAAAATGCCCTCAATGTGACCACATTGAGATCAAAGGCCATTAGAGTGTGAAAACAGCCAAAATTTAAAAAATGTATGCTATTTATTAATGATTCTATAGAAGCAGGTTGTAAATTTTGGCATCTGCAGCATTATTAAACTACTTAAAATATTATAATAAAAATATAATTATAGTAAGAATACTCAAATGTTTACTTATTTAAAGGAATTAAAGATGAGTTTTAGGATTTTCTTTTTATAAAATAGAGCATAAAACTATTATTTCATATTCATAATAAATAGTGATATATCCATTAAGATTTCACTGTTTATAATACAGCAAACCATAAAAATAAACACAAATTTAAACACAAGTATTTTATTTCATCTCCAATCTTCCAACAATGCTTTTTTTTACCTTGATCACAGGATCTTATCCAACAATTACATACCAATACTTTATTATAGATCATTTTTGAATCCGACAAAAGAAATGAAAAAGTATTTCTTTAATTCACTACATTTTATTATTTAAATAAAAAATTCATATAAATAAGAATACAACCAAATTATAAATACTCTAAAACATATCAATAGATTTTCTATTACCAATGTTTTGTTATAATCTCATCAAATTAGAAAATCATACATATTTAACAGTTTTTTAAGTAGATTTTTACATGTAATAATTTAAAAAAAAACATAAAACGAAATCTTAATTTTAAATAATTTAATAATCAAGTTGTTGTTATTTATTTTATTTTTTATCAAATTAAAAACAAACAGAATGGAAGCTCATTTGCTTTGTAAACTGGATTCTGAATATTTATAACCATAAATATTTACAAATAATTGAAATTTCGCTAACATTTTATGAGATCAGATGATAGATCGATGTAAAATTAATAAAGAGATACAAAAAGAACTGTCTTTGAGCATTAAAACCCTTTAATAGAATTAAAGTATCAATGCAAGTACTTTTGATACTGCATTACAGTCTTCTTCAGGCATAATTTTGGAGAATTTTTGCCCAATAAAGAAGGTAAAGCACTGTCAAATGTACTTGTATTGGTGTTTAATTTCATTAAAGACAATTGTGTTTGTATCATTTATGTAAAGATGGCATAAAGCAAGTGTACAAGTTTCTTCTAAAATTAAAGAAAATTTTGTAATCCGCAACTTTCAAATTCTCGCTTGCATATTCTAGCACCGCGCTATTTTTAATATGCTGTAAATACAACTTTCCCATAATCTAAGTTGTAAATCTTTATGCTCCAGCCAAGTATTTTTTCTTAATTTTTTATCAAAAGTTTTACAATTTTATACACGTATATATATTTTTTTCCTGTTATCGAATCTATTTCTCACAATATTCGGGCTATAGTTTATGGAAATCTCAAAGCACAGCAAGAATATAATTGTGGAAAATAATTCCATGTAATATGTATGTACAGGTATATAAAATTATTGGTACAATTAGAATGATGTGTGTGCAATTTTTCTTTGTTCCTATATGAAATTTATTTTTAATGTAATATTTAAGCAACAAACAAATTATTGTGTAAGAAATGTTAATGATTTTTAAATAAATCAATGAAATTTAATTGTAAGAATGAAAGAATTAAAAAAAAAGTAACTTATCTTAAAGCACAGGCATTTATAGATTTGAGAATTGTAAATATTAAACTCAGTCTGAAAATATGAAAAAAAAAAAAATGTTATTTTAATGATTTGCAAAGTAAAATATTAAATCTCACTCATTCTATTATTGAGGCCGGATTTAGACTCACTATAGTTCTAAGCTATAATATACGAGGCCTTTCTCGTTTTTCAAATAATAAATTTTAACGTATGAGGTCCTAAACGGCAGTTTGTTTAGCTTATATTTAAATCCGGCCCCCACATGTTATTATAATTTAAATTTGATATATAAATAAATCACAAAACAATTTTGAAAGTGATAAATTAATTTCAAATGCTGAAAAATAACAATAATATAGATAAAATATATTAATAAAAAATGATAAAAAATAATTTCTATAAGGAGAGGAAAAATATAAATTTGTATTTTTCCTCTTTGATATGCAAATATTATATGAAATAACAAAAAATAAATTGCAAATTTAGTTAAATTGTAATTAAAATGAAAGGATATGTTGCTGTAAAAAGAAGACTGCATTTAAATTCTTCACTTAAGATAGAAAATGTACAATATTTTAATTAAATATAAATGTACATTATTAAGTTATTGGACATGTTTCATCAACACTTTACATCCAATTAAATAAAACTCTCAAACTTATCTGAAAGTGGTCTTATATTAACTGTTGATTTGTTTTCTGAATCTTCTCACCCTATGGGCACTAGGAGCATCTTTTAATTATATCTGTCACACCCAATAATAGGGAAGGATGGGGCCCAACATATCTGGGACAGACCATCCCCAAAACATTCCTGAAGTTTTTTTTTTAACTACCCAGCACTTGATCTTAGGTGAAAGCCTCAACTGCATTGGCTTTCCAACCTTATTAATCAGCAGTTCATATCCAAGTCACTTAATGTAAGAATTGAGAAATTCAATTTTAATACCAGGTTATAAAGTAACTCAAAGAATAATTTNTTAGTATATCCCATGTAATTAGTATATTAGTATATCGCTATTAACCAACTTCGCGTTGAATTTTCATCGATGTTAAGCCTAACAAATTTTTTTTTAATAATAATCGTCGCTATTGTATCGTTAAAAATTATTTTAAAATTATTTTATTGCTCACGAAACAAACAACCACTCATAATTGGAAAATTAAGTCTCGTTTAAATACTGGCCTCCCTTCAATGGTCGAGTTGTTGATGCCAGCTAAAACACGTAAATATTTAATAAAAATAATATTAAAGTAGCCCAGATATAGTCAAATATTGTAATGCCACATCACTAGCCGACGTTTGAAATTTGCCGACTAGAACGGTCGGTTAACCGATGTGACGATTAATCGGGGGGTCGGATAATCGATGCTGTACAGGGTTGTTGTACATTTTAAACGTTTCTCACCATAGCTGTAAAAATCTAAATTTGCTAAACTTAATAGATTGTCCGTCATTTGTTTTCTAACTAATTCGTCTTAAGACCAGATGTCCACGGAAATTTCCAAAATTTACAATTTTTCGGTCGCTCTCGTTGAACTGAAAAAATTTCTGTTTATATTACGTCTAATATTACGAAGAAATCAGTCCCCACTGTACTCGGCAGTGGGTCGGTTAAGGTTTTGTTTAAGCAAAATTCCGGCTCTTTCAGCAGAGTTTTATTTATGTCCCTAATTCCCTAATCGCTTAATTATTTAACTACTACTTAAATAGAAATAAGTCGAAAGCGGTTACTTCGTACTCGAATATTTGTAGTCTCGGGAAAAAAGTGGAAAGACAAATTTTTATGACCACGGATACATAAATCGGAAATTTAAGGAAAATAAATTCTAGAGATTTTTCTGTACCTCGTGCATCTCTCTCATTCATTAAATTTATTTGTAAATGATGCTGTCAAAGTAACGGTTAATTTTTTAACATTGTACAAGAATTGTACACGTTTTTTTTACATCCCCTTTTGTACGGGACATACGAAATCGTAATATCACTGGTTTAACATTGAAATCTGTAAGTAATATAAAATGGGAGAGCGGAATAAAAATATCAAATATTTTAATGGATTTTTTTTAAAACTCCTGTCAACTATACAAAACTATCGTAAAAACATACCAGTAAATTCTTATCGGTTGGGTTGTTATAAATCTACTCATGACTCGCATAATGGGTCGAGGGCGGCCAAATATCTAGCGGGCGAGGCGGCTAACAGGCCAGAATCGGTCCTGGATAAAATTGGATGCGTTATACGTGTAGCATCCACTTAAGGTCCTAGGCTTCCACCAGCTAAAGCAGGTGAGATTGATGCTCTGTAAAGTGCATGCACAAATCTGGTGTTTGGATGCTGACAATACAGCGCTTCCATTCGCCACGAATATTCGAATATACAATAGCAATCTTA